TTTAGGCTCCTCGTTTTCAGCACCTATATAGCAAGTCACAACATAATCCTCCCTTGGATGAGAATAGATGCATCTATTGAATGTGGTCAGTGCAAACGAAAGGGAATTTTGCTTCACTCTGTTTTTGAAGAATTCATCAAAATTCACAGATTTCTTCATATTTGAAACAGAAAGAGCTTAAGATGTTTTATTTTAAAAAAACTTAAACATGGGAGAAAGTGAAATCTAACAGATTTTTTTTCTTATGTTCCACGGATGAGTATTTGTTGAGCTCTAGAATAATAACTTAAAAAGATATATATGTTGTTTGAATTATGCCAGACACTTGTAAATGCAGTTTTAATGCCCAGATCTATTTCAGCAATTCACTGTGAGTCACCATCCTGGAGATACAGGGAAAGAAGCCACTGACTGACATCAGTACAAATGCTGGTACTGAATAAGAAGGCTCTTAGTGGTTTTAGATTTGTATTATAATGGATATACAGTATTTTGGCAGAAGGCCTAACGTTCATCAGGAATATTAAAATGTATCCTGGTGCAGACAAGAAGGAAATGTGATTAAAGTGTCTGTGGGGGGGGGTGATCAGAAGAGGTCACATGATGCACGTGCTCGTCTCTGGACCATGGAAGGCCCATTTGCTCCTGTGCTGCTCTGTTTTTTTCTCACAAAAATATATTATTTTGTTTTTACCAAAGAAAGCCCCTTTGTGCCCTCTAGTGGCCAATAAAAATTATTTTATTATTTGTTTCATTCAAAAATAAGTTGAGGAGTGTTGAATGCCCCTCACAGCAATTGCTTCTTCTGCCCCCTAGCAGACACGATGAGACTCTTTGACGCATTTCCCCCCCACAAAAAGTTTTAAATTTGAGGAGGGATTGTGGGGATATTGAGGGGTCTTGGAAGTGTGGGAGGGCACATTTGGCCCCTAAGGCTAAATTAGGCTCTTGAAAACGATATGTTAGCCACACGTGGATTAAAGTATTTGTTTATATTATATTGCGTGTAGCTCCCTCCCGTTGAACATGGACATGTTTACAGCTGAGCTGAAGTAAAATTTCATGTGGTTATCACATGTCAAAGATCATTCTCAAATTCAGTTGATTTCAGTGCTTGTGGTTTCTATTGGTACAACTTTTCTTCTTCATCTTTTACCCTGCCAGTCTTTGGTCTCATCTGCCTGTTCTTATGTTTAATATTATTGGCTGTAGTGAGCTGTGTGGTTTCATCAGTGATGTCACAGCCTGTTCTGATGCTGTCATACATAAAATCTCTCTCTCTCTCTCTCTTTCTCTCTCTGTTTTGGTGATAGTGCCCAATTAAATGATAATATGATCCAGTGCTGTTTCTGTCGTGCAGAGGTCAGACAAGTAGAAAACGGTGATTTCTAAACAGCAGTTACCACATTGGTTCTTAACCTTTCAACCTTTGATTCTCCATTTACAGAAGTCATAGACTGCATGCTCAGTGGTGAGGGATTCTGGGAGCTGAAGGTAAAAATGTCTGAGTGGCCAAAGGTGGAGAATGATTGAATTTGGGGAAGGAAAAGGCAATACATATAGGGATGGGACTTTCCGATATCAAGGACTTCCTGTCCCATGATTCACCTGGAGTCCTTCAGGCAGAAATCTGGGACTAGGAGAGGAGAAACCAGAAGATAAGAAGATAGATCCTTCTATCTCCATTTTCTGCTTATCTCTCCTGAACTTGGAAGAAGGAAGGGATACTCCTCAGTCTCACTGCTTCCTGGAAGGTACCCAATGGTCTATGGAGAAGGTACTTCAGTGAGAGACTCCCCCTATAGAGTCTAGTGGGTAGTGAGAATACCCTCTCTAATACCGGAGCAATTCCCAGAAAGCTGTGAGATTGAGGAGGAATTGCCTTCTTTTTCATAGTTGATACATATGGAGAAAAGCAAGAAAAGGTGGAAAGGCATCTCTTTTTTTGCCTTCTGGTTTCTCCTCTTACAGTTCCAGAATCCAGTTTGTGGAAGTCTAGGCAAAATTCTGGAAATGGATGTACTTCACCTCCAAATGACTCAAGCTTGGCAAACAACAGTAACATGAATGTTCATGTCGTTTGGAAGGGAGGGCTTGATAGCTTGTTCCAGTGCATCAAATGGGCTTGTCTTGAAGCAAGTGCTGAAGGTAGAGAACGATCCATAACTAATTTCTGATACAAAATTTGTGATTAGTAAAATTTGGAAACTATTATTATTACTCTGGAGTGGTTATTGCCAGTGTAACAATGGGCTAAATCTGTTTTAGTCTCATTGGGATTTGGTAAGTCAACACTAGGATAAGTCCAATTAATTTAAGGTCTACTCTGTTTTGGACTCACAACTGCATTTAGCTCCATGCAGTTGCTATTTTGAGAACCATGTGGCTACCGCTACCACAAATGGGGACATCTTAAAACAGCATCTTTCTGGCAAATGTACAATGTGGCATCGGTAATAGAGTCCTGTAGGATAGAGTGAAGCCTTCTTGTTCACTTTCTTTGCCTATATGTGGCTTAACTGCATTTGATCTTTGGGCATTCCTGATAGCAGCACCATGAAAACTGACCATGTAGTGAGGGTGAGATTCTCTCTGTTATTGGATGAGCAAGGATTTATTCCGAATCTCAGTCTTCTAAGTTCATTGCCTCATTATCCATTGTACAAGGATATTTTGCAGTTCTGTCTTAGCTCTGTTGTTACTATATTTTTATTGCATGACCATGAGTCAACAATATAGTGGAGCCAGCTTGGCATATGAACCAGGACTGATCAGACCCTGCTCCCTCAACCAGTCACCTTGGTCAAATATCCAAAGCCGCTTCTTACATTGTAGCCCTTTTATGCCAAATGTGCATTAGAGCAGAAAAGGAAATCTTGTTCCAGATCTCATAAAATAAAAATTCAGAGTCCTTGAATTCCGCTGACTGATGCTAAATTGCAGCTAAAAGAATAGTAGTAGTTCTTCATGCAACACATGTTAAATATGTGGAGATAGCTACTAGTAGATCATGCATTTCAGGCAGTATTTTAGACAGCTTTTTTAAAAGGATGGAAAAGATTTTGGACTATACATGTAGCCCTTTTCTGACCTTGTAACCTGTAAGTATGGAAGGTTCTAATTATGGTGGGCTTGGGGCATCTTGAGACCTTCTTCAATAGGGCTTTCATTACTCACGCAAGCTATATGGAACCTGCATTTACAAATGCAGTATGCTTTTGAACACCATGTTTTGAATACAAGCAATGTTTAAGGTCATTGGTGCTGTGCCTTCTTTATGAATGCCTAGAAGCATCTGTCTGCTTCTGTTAGAAAGTTAGGGCCAGTCTTAAGTTCCTGTATGCACCAAGATTTTTGGAGACTGACTGCAGTAGCAAAAGGCATGCGGTTAGAGCTGTAATGAATCTCCAGTGTTTTCACCATTGGGAAAACACTAATAGGGGAGTCTTTCACACATCAAGATACTCTATCAAAAGTAGTCAACCATGCTGAGACTTTTGGCTCCTGCACAAAAGCCAAAAGACAGCACCTGTAATAATACATTTAGTACTGCAGAGGTGGAAGAGTCCAGACCTTGTCAAGGAGGCACAGTTGGGAATCGAACTCTCAGTCTCTGCTAATACTTAAACCACTGAGCTACCCAGCATTAGTAGCAGCAATAGTTAACTCCCCTCCCCCCAGTTTTGTTTTGTGTGCGCACCTGTGCACAATACCTCGCATTTGTATTCTGTGTCAAAATATAAGCTTTTTGCAAAAACAACCTCTTCAGAACTTGCAAAAAAAAAGTACTGAAATGAAAACGAGGTTCAAAAATTCCTTTTCCCAGCAGTGGGGACAAAAATTTTGAATTTTTTTAATTCCTCACCTGAGAGAATAAAAGAAAGGAAGATTATATCCCTGCATGAAACCCATGCTGAGTTTTCAAACCACAGTAGCTCCAGTGGAAATATCTGATGCAATAGGAAAGCGCTGCCTGAGTCTGAATCTCTGGAGAACAGCTGCCAGGCCTTATAGACTAGATGGATTAATGGTCTGACCCAGTGTTGTCCTAGTTTAAGGCAGCTTCTTGTTCAAGAAGAAGAGTAATTTTAGAAATGTTGTGGCACTCGTAACCTAGGCCTGTGGCTAGGTCTCCCAGTTCCTTTCAGAGGGCAATTCAGAATTTTGCAAAGGAACTTAATTTGGGCTGGAATGATTTCTGCCCAATTTAATTCAGTTTGCGCCTTGGATTCGAATCCATTTGTAAATTTGTTGGGCTGTGCTCAGGAATTGAAGCTGGCTGCTCTGCTTCAATGCAGACGTCACCTAAACTGATCCACATCAGGCTGATTTTGTTCATAATTCAGACTGGCTGGTTTGAAACCCTATTTTGAGCTATTTGTTGTAGGAAGAACTTCCTGAATAGGATTTGCTTTTCTTTTTTTTAAAAAAAGTTGCACCTCCGTACATTTCAAGCGGTGCTCTGAATTTGACCTATTAAGCCAATGTGTATTTGCCTCCTTCTTGCATTTTTGCAGTCCTAGGTAAGCCTAAAAATAAGATTTTTTTTCTGAAGCCTTAGATGGACTCCCATCCATAACCAGTTGGTGGACAGTGGTTTGATGAGCCGTGAATTTTGCAAGCCTGTTACAAAATTCGCTTTACAGTGGAAGTGTTGGAAGGACAGCTGGAAGAAAATCTACCAATGCAGACACAGTTACTAACCAGCCTTTGTTTATGCATCTACCCCATCTTCTTGGAATGGAGAATATGTTTATGTTTCCAAAGGATTAGATCTGAGAGCAAAGGTGTGTGACCTTCTGTGAACTTCTAATAATGGAGGTTGACCTTCTGGAGAGACTAGTGGCACGGCAGAGATCACAGAGCAGGCAGCTCTGCAAATTATTAACCGGTTTATTAAACTGTGCTGTTAACATGTACCAGCAAGAAAGGGAGGGGAGGAGAAAAACCAGCTGGGAACCTATTGCTTGTGAGCAGGGAAAATAGGAAAAGCAGCGTGAACAGCCTTAACAAAACAAAAAGGCAAATCCAATATCCTCAATATTTGTCTGTGCATTAAATTCTTTCCCTGATTAGATTTATAAGGTGACATATTTCTGTTGGTACTCGTGATAAGAGGGAAGCAAGCTTTGATTACACAGCGTGAAAGGAAAAATAACATGAAACTAGAAGGAGCAGGAAAGATTAATGGGAGCCGGACACTCATGTGAGAGGCAAAGGGGCTCTTAAGCTGCCACACGTGATGGTTGTTTGAAGTCAACTCAAAGTCAACATTAAAAAAAAGAAAGAAAGAATCAACATTGTAGAAGCGAAACCAGCTTGCTTTGCCTCTTTTGCTTTGTTTTGCCTGCACCTGCCGCATGCATGAGCTGGACTTGAGCAGAAGGAAAGAGCAGTAGTATAGTAGAAGCAGAAGAAGCCGCCGCCACTGCCTTTGAAACCTTGCCACTGAGACTAGTTGGGCAGGGAGAATAGTGGCACCGGTGTCGTCGTGCGTGAGATGTGTATTCTTCAGGCGATTTTCAAGGAACTTTGTGGCGATGCTGAGCAGCTGATCCCATTGGGACCGACGTCTTTGCTACACGAGTCAGGGACAGCAGGAAGACAGCAAATCATCCATACTATCTAAAGAAGGAGGCGTTTGCTTGCATAATAATTAAGGGGGAAGAGAACAAGCCTTTCGAAAAGCATCCATCATGGACACATGGTAGCCTTTTGGGAGATGCTGTCATGATTTTTGTCCCCCGTTCGCGGAGATAAAAAGGGAGTTAGCAAGAAGCGTCCAAGGCAAACCTTTGGGGGGGGTCATTGTTCCGTTTTTCTGTTCATCCTTGCTATTTCTCTAATGGAATTTGTGCTCCCCTCCCTCCCCACTGGCTCCACCCGGTATAGTTCCAGCTGAGAAGAAACACACGTCCTCACAAATCTTGCCACAGAGACGCCCCCCACAAGCAACCTTTGATGGAAGATGTACCTTTCCATTGACATTCTTTTGTCATGACGAAAGAATGCCATTGTCGCCACGCAACAGGAACTGAAATCAAGGAGGACGAACAAGACGTATGCATTAGCAAAGGAAGGATGATAGCAATTTTATTCCCTGTAAAGAGCCAAGTTCTGCTAAGGTTGAGAAGATCCGCAGCTTGAGAAGCTCAAGGGAGGAAACACTACTAAAATAGTCGAAAATAAGAATGGTGGATTACCGCGTGCAGTCTAGAAAGGGGCTGTAACACATGCTTGGGGGTTGCAACTATTCTTCACACCTGCATGATGCCCGAGGACAGGAATACAGGGGTCCGTGCCTCAGGTGCCCTGGCATCATCCCCCTTCGTCCCCAAAACTACCTACAGGAGAATTAAACGATGTTTTAGCTTCCGCAAAGGTAGGTGCTGTTTAACACTGACATTGTGCTGTCTTCTGTTACTTTCGGAGCCCTTTCTTCTATAAGATTGGGGGAGGAGGCGTGAGCGTGAAGAGCTGTTGGGTTTTGAATAGAAATGGTGAAACAATGGGCAAAGAAGAATAAAAAGCACGCAAGCTTGCTATGCTGATTTTATTTGTCCTTGATTTATTGGCACAAAGGTGACCATTATTGTGGGAAAAAAATTGCTATGCAACTGAGACTTGAACATAAAAGAAGTGCCAAAAGTGGTCCCCCCCTCTTAAAAAATAAATTGATGTGAATCATAGCTGGCTGAATGTCAGACATCAAGGACGATAAACCAAGAACTTTAAGTGTAGATGATAGTCATCGAACATGGATCTCTAAGTAAGGGAGCAAAGCTAGCAGTGCATCCTTTTGGATTTAAATATTCCTGGTGAGCTCACCAAAGCTTCCCATACACACCACGTCCTCCTTTCCTTGCTAATATTTTTTTTCCTTACCGTGTGCTTTTCTTTGCCAGCTTTTCATCTGCTGCTCATATATTTGTTTCACTTGCTGCAGAAAAGGTTTTTCCAACTTGTTCTGCTCCCTCATCTCTGGTAGAATCCAGTGCCTCTACTTAACATGGAGGAGCTCACCCTGGACAAGGGTGTCCAGCTCAGTTGGAGATGATGGAATCTGGAAATGTTGAAAGGAATAGATGCTGGTTGCCAAGGATAAGAAAAAGAAGGCAGGTCCTACTGCATCAGACCAGCATGTGAAGCTCACAGAAAGGGGTGTAAAGGCAATAGCCTTCCTACACTTATTGTCGGCAGCACCTGGTATTTAAGCAGCATGCCTTTAAATATGAGGGTCCATTTTGTCACCATGCTAAGGAAACTTCATGTTTAGAGGCAATATAGTGCACAGAACTGTGGAATATTTATATGCATGAATTCCAAGAAAGACATACGTATTTTCTCTAAGGATGAGGTGAACTATATAATAGATTCTGCCTTGAGTGAAAAGTAACCTCTTTACTTCTCTGTAAAGAGATATATATCTCTGTTATTTAGTTTATTGCCATTGGGAATCTTTGAATAAAGGAGAGTAAATCAGTGATTGCAAACCAGCTTGATGAGCCTATCCCACATTTGACAGAAGTGCTTTTGTGGTTGGGGAAAAACAGGTTGTACTATGTGTTGCACCTTGTGCGGCAGTCGTTTGACAGAAAGAAACAAATCCGATGTTTCCCACTGCTGTAAAATTGCTGGGTGTTACTTTCGAACATTGCAGTTGTAGGTTTTCTAAAGAATATTCAAGCAGGCCTCTTTGTGGCAAGCAGAGCATGAAAAAGTTACTGTTGTGAACTATAAACTCCCAGAATCTCCCAGAAAACCCACCTGGCTGGAGGATTCTGGGAGTTTTAATCCGAAAAAAGAACTTTTCTAAGCCCTAATCGTAGGAGAAATTAATCAAAGGTATGTAAGAGATCAGAGAGATGGAATGAGTCTTCTCCAAATTCCTTGGTTTCCCTTGAAATCCTTTCTTTTTCTTTCACATTTGCTTCAAATTTTGAAATCCCACCCCCCTCTCAGAAATGTTGGTAGCTTCATCTACAAAAATAAAATAAAATCACTTTCCTTGCACTTGTGTTAGAGGTTTTTCTGAGCCAAGACACTCCACATTTCATCACAAATGCTCTTTCATGTGGTGTTTTGTGTGTGTCGTGTAAACAGAGGGGTTCAGAGCATCTGCTTGTCATGTTTCTGTGGATAATTTTTATTTGATGTCAGCTGGGCACATGTACGCTATTTTTGGAAATAAGCGGCCAATTTCATGTTTTTTCAGTCCGTCCCAAAGTAAGGGCCCAAAGTCACCCTTTAGGTTGCTGAGCACAGCTATACAGTCCTTAAAGATGAGGCATAATGCCAAGATTTTTCCTATACCATCGAATTATGCAATCTCAGGTTTATCTGGGACGAAGTTGCTACCAGCACCATGAGCTGGGCTAAGCCCAGCAATGGAACCAAGATGCTCAAATGGAGCTTGAGAGACCGCCCAAAATGTTACAGAGCCTAAGGTGGCCTTGAGGGCCACAGGCATGCTCTGGGAGAGTCACACGCACCATGCAGTCTGCCTTGTCCACCCCTTGCTCCACTGGAAGGCCAGTCGATCCATCTGACCTGTGTAATCAAGAAGCGGGTGACTGCTGGAATTTTGCTATGGTTGCTCCTGAAGCCTGGAGCTGGCCCTGGCAAGCAGCACTGATGCTCAACTGAAGCAGAAGTGTGAAGTGACACAGCAGCATGGGAAATGTGGGATCCCATTTCTCATATAAATACATGGGAACAGGAAGAACGGTGATGACATTGTTAGAGGAAAGTCAATCGCTATAGAGAAGGTGTATGTGAAAAATGTCAAGTGGATACATTGCAAATATCAAAGGGGAGGCTTGTTTACTACACATCCAGTAGTTGAAAACATGTGACAAGGTCTTTGCCAGCATTGATTTTTCACCTCCTTCCACATTTGTCTCTGACACACATTTTGGCAGTAGGCATTTGAGAAGCTGCTTTCCCTCAGGTATCTACTTCCTCTCCCCTCCCCACCCCGGGTATCTAGCTCCAAGAAATTTCATAGTTGTGAGAAGAGGCTGACCTCTCATTCTGCAGAAATCGCTAGACAGTGGTCAGTTTAAGAACAGTGGTTGTAGAATGAAGCCATAAACTAGGGTTCTGCACATTTTCTTCTCTTAAACCACAAACCCTCTCTAACAATTCAGTGAATACATGAAGGAGGCTTTTAAATTCCCCTGTACATTCAAAGATCTTAGTGATGAATTAAGGTTGGCAGCTTTATTCCCCAAGAAGCTCCTTGTCTTTAACATCTATGTGGTTGTGAGGGGGTCACTTCAGGCACCCCTGGCAGGCCATCTGCCCTCACCCCTGGAGGACCTATTAGAGTCATCAAATGCTGGGCCTCAGGCAGGTGTAGAAGTGGGTTGGCCAAGCTGGACTGGGGAGGAGATGGCTTTGGATGGGAGCCACCTGTGTAAGATGGTGGGGCTGGGTCTGAACCACTAGCTAGGGGCAGGAACAGAGGGAGGCATGGGAGAGAACCACCAAAGAGAAGAAGGAATTGCTAGACACAGACAGGAAAATGGAGGCCAACAAATGAGAGTTCACTGCTTCTGAGGGGGAAGCAGGCTGAGGAGATGTGCTTGATGAACCTGAGGAATCCCTGAGCACCTAGGTCAATGGTGTCGAACTGTGGCCCTCCAGATGTTCTTGGACTTCAACTCCCAGAAGCCTTCACCACCACCTCTGCTGGCCAGGATTTCTGGGAGTTGAAGGCCAAGAACATCTGGAGGGCCACAGTTTGACACCACTGACCTAGGTGGTGGTAGTTTCTCCTCATGCTGTTCAGCTTCCACATGGGAGGAATCAAAGAGTGGGCTGCTAGTTTCCTGCCAACCAGACCCATCTGCTCCTGTCTGGCAGTGGGGGGGAGGAACCAGCCCCCACACCTACCCAGAGGTGGAACTGGAGGTGCAAGAGGCAGAAGGCATGGCAGCAGTGCCTCCAGCACTAGGAGCTGCCACCACAAGCCATGACTGAGGCCAAGCCCCAAAAGCACTCCCTGCATAGTCTCCTGGCTAGGCTGGTACTTTAAGCCAGCGGTCCCCAACATTTTTAACACTGTGGACCAGTTAGGGAAAGCGTGGCATCCCCCTTGCACGCATGTGTGAAGGGGTGTGTGTGTGCTTGTGCACATGTGCGAAGGATGGGGCACTTGCACGGGCACACTCATGTGCATGCACCAAGGGTGGGGGTGCTTGCGCACATGTGTGAAGGAGTGGGGGTGCTTGCATGGGTGTGCACACACTCACATGCATGCACAGAGGGGCTGTGCAGGGGGGAGTGCATGCGGGTGGTGGGAGGTCTATCTCCATGGCCCGGTCTGGCCCAGGCCACGGACTGGCAACGGGTCACGGACCAGGGGTTGGGGATCCCTGGTTTAAGCCATGCAAATACAGATTTTAGACTCATCGATCGCAGTGGTGCCAACTTGGCAATTGGAGTGGATTGAAGTCCCAGGAACGGGGGAATTGTATCAGGAACTCAGGTCCCTGATGGACAGACAAGTGGGGAGTGGATTCTTTTTCTTACCTTTATTGTACAGCATTTCCTCAGCTCAATAAACACCAGTTTGGGCTATTCTTGACCTTGATCTTATGGAGACTGGGATGTTTGGGCTGTCACCTCCATTCTAAGTAAATAGTAGGAACGTTGTCATAATCTATTGAGGAACAGCAGTGCATGTTAAAAGTGGTGGGACAAAAGTGGGAGAATTTCACTTCATTTTGGAAGAATTTATTAAAAATTTTTTTTTGCTTCTTCTTCCTCTTTGTCCACTCATACTGGAGGCCAGATGACATTGTAGCTCATCTAGTTTCGGATGGGGGCATTTCTAAATGATGTTGCTGTGTTGCATTTTTTTAAACACGCCTACACTTCGTCTCCCCATTTAAGTTCACAAATCACAAATCTGGGCCATGAGGAACTTGGGATTTTCAAAATTTAACTGAAGGAGCAAGCAGAATTGATGGACATTCCTACCCTCTCTCTGCCAAGGCACATTTGTTTACCTCGGAAACAAGACTAGAACAGTTGTTTTGAAATATGCAACATTTTCTTATTCCTAGCGAGTTCCCAGGGAGATGTAGGAAGGAACGCCCCACCTGTCTGCGAGCTTGAGAGACTTGCGTATTTGGACGACAGCTGCCCAAATCCACAACGGGCAAGGCCATGTCTTGTGCTTGCTGGGAGATTCTGGACACTGTAGTCCAAAGAAGGCATTTTCCCCAAGCTGTGCTACCACACGTGTGTAATGAAACAAAAGAACTCTGTTGCACGGTTGCCACTGACCAGATGATAATAGGGTAGTGGTTTGAACTGCTAGATAGCTCAGTGGTTTAGGTATCTGTGGAGCCGGAGGTTGGGAGTTCGATTCCC